TGTTGCTCGCCTTGCGATGATGGATTTGAAGTGGACTTTAGGTTCACATCAACCATGTCTTCTGATTTCGCCACCGATGAGTATGAATCCATCCCGGGTAATGCTGCAGCTATCTTCCGAAACAAAGCCTGCGAAATAAATGACGTGTTTGTGAGAGAAATTATCACACAACAAAGACAACTCACTTAGTCACTTAGTTGTTTTCATACCTTAATGTTGAAATTTTCTTTGGCGCTTGTCTCAATGAACATCACTCCATACTCTTTACCCTTATTTTCACCTTCGCTAATCGATACTTGCCTGTTTTTCACCGTAATCCAACAAATAAGACATGGATTATAAACTAATCAAATCCGATTTTGCTTTCTTACCTTTTATCAACAAGATCAGTTTTGTTTCCAACAAGAACAATAATAACATCGCTTGAACCTCTTTCTCTGTGTACATCATCGATCCATTTCGACGTATTCAGAAACGTTTGCCTATCTGCAAAAGAGCGTAAACGAATCACACAAGCCTTGAACACACAAAACAGTGACTTAAAGAATCAAAATACAAACAAAGGTCACTCACTAGATACATCATATACAACTATAGCAACAGATGAATCTCTGATGTAACTTGGGATTAAACTCCTGAATCTCTCTTGTCCAGCCGTGTCCCTGAAACCCGATTTGTTAGTCTTTTCAATATAACAATCGAAATAACACATAAAAAGATCAAAGATTCTTAATTGTTCTGCTAAACTTATTAACAGAGCAATATCTTGTTCTCACCATAGCTGCAAACGAACTGTTCGATCTTCGAGGTACATTGTTTTCGACAGAAAATCAATCCCAATGGTAGGCTACACAGTAAGAGAAACACACAATTAAAGACTTAAATCACTAATCAACAAGAAACTACACACAAAACAAAGAAGCAACAACAGTGATTAGCATCGATCATGATCATAACAAGGAGATACAGATACTTAGACCATAACAAGAAGAGATTTTGATCATAAGGGCATGAAGAATAGTGATTGAAACTAGGACGAAAATTGACCAATTTTTAGATTGAAACTAGAAACGAATTCGGAATCAGATCAAACAATCAGCGATCGGAGTGAAAAAGTTTTGTTACCTGATAAGTGGTATCGAATTTATCATACATGAAACGAGTGATGATGCTGGTTTTTCCGACAGATTGATCACCTAAGAACACTAACTTAAACTTGGCCAAAGGAGAAACAGCCGCCATTGATCAGAGGAAGAAGAAGAAACAGAGAGGAAAAAGTGACCAAGATCCGAAATTTGAGCAGATTTTTCGTCCTTTTGGTTGGTCTCTCTGGAAGAAAGAGAAGGAGAGCACGACGACGACGAACAAGACACGGTCGCACACACGAAGCTCAAGATCTTTAAGCCACGCGCCAAACAGAGAATATTCAACGAGGACTATTTATAACGAGCGCGTGGGTATACTCGCTTGGTGTGCGAGTGTGTGTATATCTAAGACGTGTTTTAATTTGGGTAAGCTTTACACAAATTCTATGATCAAATCTTATTAATCTGTTGCATCATATATCTC